AGTCAAATAAGCATCTAAAGTTAAAGCCATAAAGCCATGAAATAAAGCATCAGGGAATAACCCCACCCTGTCTCCCTTCCAGTTCCTGAGCGAGCGAGAGGTCCCAGGTTAGGGATCTTGGCATTTCTCCATTCCTTTGCAGTCCCTAAACCAGCAAGACAGGAATTAGCAAGAGCTGCATCTAATCTCCTCCATAGCTTGTGGATTTGCATTATTTGCATATATGGGAAGCGCCCATAATTGAGTAATTATTCCAGCATTTAAAGAATGCCAAACAATGAGCCATTTCTTCTTCAGACCCGATCTGGCCCATTTCCGTTTTCCTCTTAGCACACTGTGTAGAATTACCCAATGTGTCACTTCCTAGAACACTGGATTGTTTATACAAGTAAGCAAGACTTCTTTGGCAGTATTTATTTCTCTCATTTTAGACATGATGATTGCAGCCTTCACAGTGCTCCCTTTTCTAGAAGCTTCTCAAGTGTTGAATGTGTATAGATGCAATTTTGTGCCTTCCTTTTTAAAATAAGGGTTATCCTTTGGGAAGAGGGGTGGGGAGAGAAGGCAGAATCGAAGAGAGTAAAAAGTCTTGAAACTCTGTGCTTGCTTGTCTGGCATGCAAGGAGCGTGTTGGATTTACTCCTTAACAAGCATTTTAAAGGAAATACTCTGCAAGCTATACTTGAGTGCATTTTAACAGTTTAGGAAAGAGAATTTCCCAGAGGGTCTGAGAGGATGAGAACAAGCATTTGCATCTGGATTACGGAGGACCTAAGTGGATTTTTCCTGAGCTGTTTTTCCATCAGAAATCTTGGTGGGAGGAGAGGTCACTCCGATGTCTGTACTTTTTGTTGTTGGCAAGGCTGCGGCTTTAATATGGAGGCGACAAAGAATGCATAATTGTGCATTCAGCTAAGACTAAAGACTCCCTTCCCTACAGGGTTTTGTGTGCGCACGTGTTTTTTAGTCCAACGTGGAAAGCCCCGCTTGACTGTAAGAAAGACAGTCCTTATTCTCCCTAACAATTAACACACTCACACAAGACTTCCCAATTTATGGCAAAGCTGGGGAGTCAAGAGTCCCTTCTCCCCACTCCCGACTTCTCTTCCACCCTAACTCCCTGCACAGGTCTCCAGAGGCAATCAGCAGCGGCCTGGGACAAACACTAAAGTCAAAAAGGACTAATGGCAGGGGCCGGCCGGTGGCACGCAAGGTTAAGTTCGCATGGCCCGGGGTTCGCCGGTTCGGATCCCAGGTGCGGACATGGCACCGCTTGTCAAGCCATGCTGTGGCAGGCATCCCACATATAAAGTAGAGGAAGATGGGTACCGATGTTAGCTCAGGGCCAGTCTTCCTCAGCAAAAAGAGGAGGATTGGCAGCAGATGTCAGCTCAGGGCTAATCTTCCTCAACAAAAAAATAAAAAAAAGATAATCTTCCTCAAAAAAAAAAAAGGTACTAATGGTGCCATAAACAGGCCCCGGGCACCCAAGTTCTGGCCTTTTCCTTTAGTTGGCTCATTTTGGGTAGACAAATGTAATGGGCCTGCTTCGCTTATCTGAGTCAGTGAGGCCCAGGGGCCATGGGTGGGCACGCGGATAAAGCTTTTCCAGTGAGGGTCTGCAGTCCGTCTTCACTGGTATGACCTGTAACACTCCTTCCGAATTCTCCTCTATTAATGTGCAAATGAAATTAGGAATGCCTGTAGATGTTGTTATGATGATCAAATGATTCACACCTACTAAGGGCTTGAAAGAGAGCAAGCACAGCAGACTGTCTTAGGTCAGGCTCCCAGGAAGCAGTGCCTGAGGTGGGGGGTCCCCCATGGAAGTGACTGATTGGGGGCGTGCTGACTGGGGCAGGGCAGGGCAGGGCAGGGCAGGAGCTAGCAAAGCCATGGCAGCCCATGAGAAGCTCGGAATATGAGGGGCACTAGAGTTTGTCACACCTAGGCAAGACGGCTGAGCTGTCATACTACAGAATCAGTCCCTGGAGGGTGGGCGAAACTTCTCGGACACCCGTCAGCCAAGGGTAATCCTCTGAGAAGGGTGGGTGCCCCAGCCAAGGAGATCTGGATGGGGTGCTGCATCTGCTATGCAAATTGACAAGGATTTGCTGACAGCAGCTCAGCGTGCCAAGGAGCAAGAGCTCAGAACCCGGGAATCCGACAACCTGAGCTTCAGTTTCTTCATTCAAGATGTCTTCCTTTTGGTCTCACAAGGCTTCCCTTGAGTCCCTAATTTGAGGTTGGCACCCTGGCTTCATTTGTAGACAAGTCACAGTCCTAAGTGCCTATTTCTTTCTTTGTCCCCAACTTGGGGGGTGGGAGTGCACAGACTCTATCCTGTTCTCTGCAGCATCCCAACACTCAGCACAAGGCCTGCATATAGTAGGTCTGCAGCACACATCTGCTGCCAGTCTGAACGAGTACATAAGATTTCTCATCCTCAGCAAAAGGCCCGAAAGGCGTGTCAACGCTTGCCTCTTAGCTCCTAATTGGATGTAGCTTCCGCCACCACTTCTGTTTATCTGATACTTTTCATCTCACCTTTCCCTCTACCAGTCCTTTGATGTGTGTGGATGGATGTTCTCCCTCTCATTCCACATCATTCCACCTCTCTCTGAAGAGGTCGGCTTCATTCCAATATACTCCAGCCTCATTCAGGGTCATTTCCAGTGATAGCTCCCAGATTTGTGAAATTCTGAAATGACAGGATGCCTGGGAGGGCGGGAATGCCGCTTCAGCCTGGCCATGTTGGGTGGGAAGGTGACTGCAGGGTGGGCAGGAAGAGGGAAAAGGCAGTGGCAGCCCCCTTGGCAATAAGTCATGCCAATCAGAAGGGAAGATGGGAAGACAGAGCCCGGATACTCAGCACTGGGCTTTCCCCGGAACGTGCAAGATCACAATATTTGCTTTTTTGATATTCTTCCACCGCTTTCCCTTGGATATCTAATAACCATCCATGTTAAACTAAAAGGACTCCAGTGGTGGAATTTCCAGCATATAACATTCAGGTGGGGGCAGACACTTGGGGAGCAAGGAAGTTTCTGTGTTGTGGTAGAAGGAGAGGAGGCCTTGCTTGGGTATGTCCCAATCAGCAGTCTCAATGCCTTCCCATTCTCTATTTCTTTCTTTCTTTTTTTTTTGGTGAGGAAGATTGTCCCTGAGCTAACATCTGTGCTAGTCTTCCTCTATTTTGCATGTGGGATGCCTCCACAGCATGGCTTGACAAACGGTGTGTAGGTCTGCCCTGGGATCTGAACCCACAAACCCTGAGCTGCCTAAGTGGAGCCTGGGAACTTAACCACTACACCACCAGGCTGGTCCCCACATTCTTTTTTTTAAACAACTTTTCCCCTTATAAAAGCAACATCACCATTTTACAAACAACTTGGAAGGTAAATAATTTTAAAAAAATCATCCCACTGAAGGAATGTAAATTACTGTGAGCATTTCGGGAAGTTTTCCTCTAGTCTCTTGCCCTCTGCGGATCCCTAGATTTGGATCACTGTTCGAGTTTTTTCTAGATATGTTTGTATCACTGTAAGTGTTTTAAAACTTCCCTGATAACTTTCCTGCGTTTCCTGGCATCAAGGTTTGCGGCCAGGGATCTGGAGCAAGAGAGAGCCTCAACTTTGGACTTCAGATTCCCCAACTATGAGATGTGAGTCGGACACAAATTGACGTCGAGGTTTCATGTTTCAGGAGTTGACCTGGCTTCCTCTCCAGCAGTGGCCTACTTGGGTCTCTGCTCAAACTATCCCATCCTCCAGAATGGAAGATGGAAGTGCTCAGGGGAGGTCAGGGGGCCTGGTCCAGAGGGAGGACTCCGGATCAGCTCTTCTGGGGCTCTCCTGGCAGGAACGCTAAGTGGCTCCCAGGTGCGTCCTCTCTGCTTCACCGGACAACCGGCCTTTGGTAACTCCTCCAGCTACTGAGCCCCCTTGGCTTCCCCTCGGGGCTTTACCCACATTTGCGGACCATCTTGGGCATTCAAGAGACCAAGGGCGCAGCCTCCCGCCAAGTCCAAGTGGGCAGAAGGGAAGACCCCCAGCCATCCAAGGCCCGGGAGCGGGTGAAGTGAGGTGACCGCCCTCTCCCCCGGGAATTGTTTGGGCTCCAGGAGTCAGCCCCAGGCAGGTCGCGCCTATAGCCCGGGTGGGGCGCCCTCCTCCCGGCCCTCCTTCCTCTCCGCGGTGGCCCGGGGGCGGACGGACGCGGCGGCGCCCATCCTGGCCCCCGTGCGGTTTCCCGACGAGGCCTTAGGAGGTGGTGGAGCGGGAGGGAGAAGGGAGGAGCACGCGGAGCAGGAGGGGAGGGAGGAGGAGGAGCGGGGGTGGGAAAAGGAGCAGCCGGCTGGGGAGGAGGAGGAGGAGAAGCGGCCGGCAGGGGTGGGTGCAGGGGGTGGCCAAGCCCTGAGGACGACTGGAGACGGGCAGCGGGGGGAGAAGGCGGGCCGCGGAGGGAGAGGGAAGGAGTTGCAGCGAGCGGGGAGGGGCAGCCTAGGGGGCGGGGCTGGCGCATCGGGGGGCGGGGCCTGCGCGCCCCGCCCCTCCCGGGGGCCGCACCGAGGAACGAAGATGGCCGGGCGCACCGCGGGAACCGAGGGGCCGCCGGTAGTGGCTGCGGCGGCGGCTCTGAGGCTGTGACTCCGCGCGCAGCGGCGACCCGAGCGACCCAGGGGCAGCGGGCAGGCGGCGCAAGCGGCGGCGTGCAGGGCCAGGCAGGCGGGCGCCGGTGCGCGGGCGCCGGGCGGAGGATGCACCGGGCGCGGCGGGCGGCTCCCCGCGGCCGCCCTCGCGCCCCGGGCGCCGGGCCGTAGTGCTGGCGGAGGAGGCGGCACGCGCGGGCGGCCGGGCGGCGGCGGGGCCCGCGCCGTCATGCCGTGGCTGAGCGGCGGCCGGCGGCGGCGGCGGGGACAGCCGCGAGAGGTCCCGCGGGAGCCGCCGCCGCCTGCGCAGCCCGCACGGGAGCCGCCGCCGCCACCCGCGCCCCCACCGCGGCCCCCGTGGTCCCCGCGCCCCCCGCGCCGCCGCCGGCCCGGGCCCGGGAGAGCGCCGAGCTGCCGCTACCCGCCGGCTGGGAGGAGGCGCGCGACTACGACGGCCGTGTCTTCTACATCGACCACAACACGCGCCAGACGTCGTGGATCGACCCCCGCGACCGGTAAGGGCGCCGGCGGAGGGCGCGGGCCCGGGCCAGGATCGGGGCGCCGCATCCTTCTAGCCCGGGGAGAGGATCAAGGACTCGGAGGCCTCTGGCTCTGGGCGAAGATCGTGAGTCCGCGGGGCGCGGGCGAGGACCCGGGCGCCCCCACCCCCGGGGCCCTGGCCGAGGATCGAGGCGCCCCCTCTCCCGGCCTCGAGCCCCCGGCGTGCAGAGCCCCGGTCTCCTCCAGCCCTTGCCGCGGGGCGGACGCTCGGACTTGATTCCCTCACGTCACCCGCTGACCGGCGCCTGGGAGTTGGGCGCCTGGAATTTCCTCTCCCGGGGCTGACGGATGGCCCTCTTTTCCTTTTTCCGCCTCGGCCTCGCCCATCCCTGCCAGGCCTCTACGTCCCACCGCCCCCGGCCCCGCGGTGGCCAGATGAGCTGTCATCTTGGAGCAGAAACGTGCGCCCCAGCTTCGTAGTGTGGGTTCCTTGCCTGGCGGGCTCAGCCTAGTTTCCATCCAAAGAGTGATGCCAGACGGGACACTTCAGGGATTCCCAATTCTGTTGGAGCTGGGAGAGCCTGTTCTCAAACTGTGCTCTTTAGCGCCTTAAATATTGAGTTAAAATTTTGTTTGAAAGAGCCTTGTGTACTGCGGCCAGAATGGAGTATGATTAGACCCATATGCTTTCGGAATAAACGAAAAACAAGAGTTGAATTTTAGGTTTCATTTTTGTGCAAGATGGGAATAGGACACTGAGTTGTCTTATTATTCATGGAAATAAATCTTATGGACTAAAAGCGGATTCTTCTGAAAGCACTACCAGATTGCATGTAATTAGGTTAATGCAATGAGGCTTTTCCTTAACTTTTTGCTCAATTGTCTACTGGTTTCAATGGTTCAGCTGCTTTTGGAGAGATGCATTCTTTTGTGGAATTGGGAATTCTGTTGAAACCAAGTGTTTGCAGTGGTTATCTGATATCTTGTCCTATCCTGAGCAACTTCTCTCCACGCTGGGCCTGAGTGCCAGAAAGGAAATAGTGCAGGCTTCCCAGCGATTTGAGGACTTGAAAAGGCCCAGTGTGGTGACACTGCGCCTGCTTCCTCCTACCTGCACAGGAAAGCAGTGCTGCATGGCCCTGGCCTTTGAAAATAAACTTTTGGGGAGGGAAGCTGCTGAAGTATTGTTTGAAGATTTCTCTGCGTTCAGATAGGGAAAAACAAAACAAAGCAAAAGGATCTTGGTGCCCTAACATTCTCTCTGAACAGTGCAAACTTGTGGACTCAGAAACTTAGATAAATCTTAGCACAGTTGTATGGCTTACGAAGATGCTTAGTTATATAAAAAATCAGGTGAGATCATATTATAACTTTAACCAAAAGCTTGAGCCATAGCTGTATGATCAAGCCTTGAATGGTTCTAGAATTGGTAGAACTGCTTGGCATGTGGTGCCCTTTTATGCTGTATATCTGTTAAAGACCCAAACAACTGGAAAATGAACCAGTTAAAAATACCATTTTGCTTAGAAAAGGCTAAGGCTCGTTTTATGAGGGTAATATAAAACCGTTGTGGTTACACTGGCGTGGAGATTCATGATGAGAAATATAAACGTAAGAATTTCCGCTTTAACGATACCACCCAGGACATAGGTGAGCAGACCCTCCAGAAGTCAGCTTGTAGAATCAATCTTTCTGTATATTTCATACAAATGTGTATATTTCGTACACATTTCCTATGTTCCTCTTTCCACAAATCTGTTTCTGTTACTGAATGACATTTTCACCCTTTTCAGACATCACTTATGTTATAGATTTTTAAAAAGCCCTGATTCTAATGCTAAAGGTGTTGATCGAGTGAACAAAAGTGGATATATTGCATTTTTTGTAAAGTAAAAACACATGTATACTTTTATGAGATATTGTTTTTATAGTGAGTGAAAATTCAGCAGGGGACAGCTTGCACTTCAGCTCCCATAATACCTTGCCCGAAATATGTATGGAATGTTAAGCAAGCCACAAACATTTAAGTGGACTCTACCCGAATGGTGTAAATGGTGTAATAGTCATTCTTCTTACTCTTTCAAAACAGAACCCTGCTGATTTTTATAGGGGACCAGTTATCCTTTAAAGTTGTAATTGCTTTTTACTGTATGGAGAAAACTGTGTGTCAGAGCACAGCATTTTCTCCGCGTGCATCTGACAGTTAAAACTCTTTTGGAGTCATGTTTGATTCACACAACCAGAAAATGGTGTTCAAGAAATGAAGACTTTCCCCAAACAGTTTCCAAATAGGGAACTGACAGGAGAGAGGCAAATCAATAAAGAGGTTTTTAAAGAAAATGAAGTTATGGAGGAATAAATGAACATGGTAGGTTAGGTGACATTTGTTGCTTACTGAAAACATCGTTTTATATATAATTTAGTAAAAACTGTAATAGCATAAAATATGCTGCTGTAAGCAAAGTAGCCAAGGGTTATGAACAGTCTCTTCTGGAGTTTTATAGTAATTTCATTCAGTGTTGTGTTTAACAACATTCAATATTACCAGCTCAGGGCGTGTTGGTGAATTATGTTGCTGTTCTTTCTTTTTCAGGTTACAACAAAGAGGTTGCAAGCCTAAGGAAACATCTTTACAGATGTGGCTACAGATGTGTAAAAATCTATTTTCAAAATAGAATTTTTTTAGTTTGATTATGAACCCACCTTAGGTTTAAATTCACTATCTCTGCAGATTAGTGGTGTGCACATAATTTTTGTAGTTAGTTTTCTGGGAGCCTTACCCAAAAACTTTGTTAAGAAATATAAAATTAGTTCGCCATTTCTCTGGCTGGTTTCCGTGGGTGAGTCCTGTGTGGTTTACATTAGTGGTACGTGTGTATTCTACATATATTAACTCAGAGTTCAATGACCACTTTATGAAAAGGTATTTAGCATTTAGGCGGAAAATATGGGAAGAACATTTTTGCCTCCTTTGGAAAAATTCAGTGCCTTCCACAGGTGTGTACGTGTGTGCTTCCTGGGGTTGTGTTGATATTATCCTATAGATGGACTGAGTGGTGGAAACTTCATGTTCTGTTTCCCAGCTCAGTTGGGATTGTACAGTACTGGAAATGCCAACCTTGAGCAGCTCAAGAATGGTGGACCATACCACATTTGAGATCAAAGCAGAGTGTAAATGATCGTGATGTTGGCAGAAGGCCCAGATATATCATGACATAAGCTTTTAGGGACCCATTTGTTCACGAGCTGGGGTTTGACCTGCGCCACATGGAGGAATTCTGTGGCATGTTAAAAGTCTTTTGAACAGGCTATTGCTTTATGGAGAAACAATCCATGGTTCTGGAATTTGCCAAGTTGGAGCCACACATAACAGAGCCGGATGACATTGTTGCTATCGTCTTGGAACTTTTATTTAGTATTAATTAATAGGAGGTATATTATATTTACCCCACAGAGTGTATTTTGGGATTATGTAAACTTTCCAATAAACAAGTAATTATTCCTCCATTTTTCATTGTTTAAGATTGTAGATAGTGTTTGTATGAACGTGGGGGAGTGTCTTACTTTTCAGGCCCTAAGGGATGGGCTCCTGGAAGAATTTTCTTCCATTTAGATTATGAACAACTTCGTGGTCTATTCTTGGTCTAATATCTTTCTTTTTCTTTCCTTCCCTTTTTATTTTTAAGTGAATGGAAAAGTCATTCATTTCCAAAAATAGCTCCCGGATGTTTGGAAATCTCTAAGTTTCCTTTTCTTCCCTTTTGCTCTGATTTTGGGAGTATAAATAATGTGTTTCACCTTCTCTGGTAGGTTCTACTTCAGAAACCCTTGGGTCAAGTGACATGTTAAAGGTCACTTGGTGAGCCTCTTCTAGCCCAGGTCCTTTTTACTAATGTTGGCTGCCTTTCCAATAAATTCAGTAAAATGAATCTGATGGAATAACAGCAGAGTTGAATTCTACTGGGTTCAGTTACCCCTATTGAAATCCAGTAAAATGAAGAAATAGTTACAGAGGTGCTTGCCCTCCTGTGTGCTGGGACGGTAGATAGAGACTAGGTTTGTCTCGGAGATGGGAGACAGACACAAAGGGAAGACAGTAATGGTGCCAAGGCGCCGTCAGCAGGTGGTGGTGGCTTCTGAGAAAAGGAGGGCAGGCTCACTTGAGTCTGGAGGTTCTCGTCCGTCGATCTCCTAGGTTGAGGGTTTCTCGTGCTTTCTCAGTGCTGGGGAAAAAAAGGGGGACTGAGAAAAGTGCTGGAGCTGAGGAAGTGCTGGGTGTGTTTAGAATCAATAAGGGTCAGAATCACAGAGTCACTGTGACTGACCCAGAGTCTTTGGGTGAGGGAGGGAAGACTCGGGCAAGACCACGAATAGCTTAGAATCCTACAGCTTTGGGTTTGGAAGAGCTAGGACCGTCTTATGCTAAGTCCTCGTTTTGCATTGGAGGGCCACAGCCAAGGGGTGTCTTGCCAGCAGTTGGAAGGACAGGGACTTGAGCTGAGTCTTCTGACCCCAGCCTGGTGCTCTTCCCAGCATGCCACCCAACTGCCCAGTCGCTACTCAGTTTTAAGCATCCTGCCTCTGTTCATTCATTCATTCAGTAACTGTAGCACAGCCGCTCAGTTTCAGGCACTCTTCCAGGGTTTGGGACTCCAGTCGTGGGCACCAGCAGACAGGTCCCTGCCTCTGTGGGGCTTCCGCTGCGCTTGTGATCTTCTCCCTTAGGCCTCGCCATGCTGTTCCTGCCTCCCGGTTTCTCCCCGCTGGGATCCCTTGGGTCTGAAGGTCCACAATGGCTGCACAAGCTGTAGGTGGATAGGTGATGAAACTGAGGCCAAGGGAGGGTGACTTAGGAACCTCACTTCTCATAGCCTACGAGGGGCAGTGTCTGTCCGACTCCAGCGTTGAGCCCAGGTCTACTACCTGTATTTGACCCTCCTTGGCCAGGTAACTGTGTGCCCCTTGCACTGTGTTGTACCCGCCAGTTATTTTTTTTTTTTAAGTTTTGGTTTGT